GAGCTAAAACCAATGTACGAGAGTAATGACAAAAAAGGCTTTTAAGAGTTATTTTTTAATTGGTGGGAGAGGAAGAAGGGTTTTCAGGAAGTCATGAAAAAATACAGGCAAAGTGGCTGAAGGCTCAGTCACCAATGGTAGGATACAGGAAGTGTATGAGCAACCAAAATCAGAGGGTCAAGAGACGATATACTGGAAAAGGTTGCAGGAAGCAGAGGAGGATTTAAAAGAAGGAAGATTTTAAATTTCACACACAGGGAGAGATGGGGTGCTACTGTAGATCGACAAAGTAGATTGGTGAAGGCTGAGCCAAACTAAATTCAGGCCGGGAAACATGGTTTGCATGGTCATCAAATAACAGAACAATCATAAAATGGTTACAACACAGAAGATGGACATTCCACCCATCATGTTTATGCCAGTCCTCTTCAAGACCTATGCACCTAGTGCTGTCCTCTTGTCTTTCACTATAACTCTACAAATGTTTGCTTTTCAGATAATACTTCAAGTCTCTTGAAAATCATTACGAATCATCCTTCACTAAGCCCTCAGGTAGAGCATTCAAGATCTGAATGACTCTCTGTGTGAAGAGGTTTGTCCTTGCATCACCATTGCTTCTTCTGCTAAACAGCTTAAATCAGTCATTGGTTTTCAGTTTGACCATTTGGAGAAAAAAATTCTTTCAGCTTTATTCTTGAAACCCTTATCATCATTATTTTGTGCATCACTTTAAAATCTCCTCTGTACCTCCACTTCTCCAAGAAAAAGAGCCCCAGTTATCGAGTCACAGACGTACAGCACAGAAACAGACCCTTCAGTCTGAATTGTCCATGCCGACCAGATATCCTAAATTAATCTAGTCACATTTGTCCATATCTGTCTGAACCCTTCCTATTCATGTCCCCATCCGAATGCCTTTTAAACGTTGCAATTGTACCAGCCTCCACCACTTCCTCTGGCAGCTCATTCCATACACACACCACCCTCTGCATGAAAAAGTTGCGCCTTAGGTCCCTTTTAAAACTTTACCCTCTCACTTTAAACCTACGACCTCTAGTTTTGGACTCCCCTACCCTGGGAAAAAAACTTTGGCTATTCACCCTATTCATGCCCCTTATGATTTTATAAACCTCTGTAAGGTCACTCCTCAGCCTCTGAAGATCCAGGGAAAATAGCCCCAGTCTATTCAGCTCAAACCTCCAACCCCAGCAACATCCTTGTAAATCTTTTTGGAACCCTTTCATGTTTTACATTCTTTTCTATGGCAGGGAGACCAGAATTGAACACAGTATTTCAAAAGTGGCCTAACCGATGTCCTGTATAGCTGCAAAGTGACATCTTAACTCCTATATGCATAGCACTGATCAATAAAAGGTAAGCATACCAAACACCTTCTTCATTACCCTGTCTACTGGTGACTCAACCTTCAAGGAACTATGAATCTGCACCCAAGGTCTCTCTATTTGGCAACACTCCCCAGGACCTTACCACTAAGTGTATAAATCTGCCCTGATTCACCTTACCTCACATTTATCTCAATTAAACTCCATCTGCCGCTCCTTGGCCCATTGGCCAATCTGATCAATGTCCCGTTGTACTCTGTGGTAACCTTCACTGTCCACTACACCACCGATTTTGGTGTCATCTGCAAACTTAATAACCGTACCTCCTATATTCACATCCAAATCATTTATTTAAATGACAAAAAGTAGTGGACCCACCACTGATGCTTGTGGCACACTGCTGGTCACAGGTCTCCAGTCCGAAAAGCAACATCCCACCACTATCCTCTGTCTCCTACCTTCAAGCCAATTTTGTATCCACATGGTTAGCTATCCCTGAATTCTATGTGATCTAACCTTGCTAACTAGTCTACCATGCAGAACCTTGTCGAACGCCGTGCTGCAGTCCATATAGAGAATGTCCCCCAATTTCCCTTCATCGGTCTTCTTTGTCACTTCTTCAAAAGTATCAAGTTAGCAAGACATGATCTCCCACGCAAAAAGCCATGTTGACTATTTCTAATCAGTCCTTGCCTTTCCAAATACATGTAATTCCTGTCCCTCAGAAGCCCCTCCGACAACTTACCCACAACTGACATCAGGCTCACCTGGCCATAGTTCCCTGGCTTTTCCTTACCATCTTTCTTAAATAATGACACTACATTAGCTAACCTCCAGTCTTCGATAATGGCTATCGATAATACAAATATCTCAGCAATCGTTTCCCTGGCTTCCCACAAACTTCTGGGGTACACCTATCAGGTCCTGGGGATTTATCCACCTACATGTGTTTTTCCAATGCGTCTATGTAACTGAGGTACCTCATATCTGGAACCATCTCCATGAATATTTTCTGTACCTTCATACTATCTGCATCAAAGCAAATATCATTGTCAGGAAAAGCATATGTTATAGAATCTTCCCCACTTGGTTAGATGAATACAGTTCCAACAACAATCAAGAAGGTTGGCAGCATCCAGGCAAAGACAGCACCAATGATTACTCCCTTCAGCACTGATGGACAATGGTGGTAACATGTGCCATGTGCAAAATGCACTGCAGCAAACAGCCAATGGATTTTCAACAGCACCTTTCAAACCCAAGCCCTCTATTACCTAGAAAAACAATTGCCATAGACACATGGGAATGTCACCACCTTCAAGCTTGTAATCCAGACATACCAACCTGATTTGGGAATACCTCACCATTCTTTCATCGACACTGGGTCAAAATCCTCTCTACCCAATAATACAGTGCTTCAAGGTGACAATTTGCTGCCTTCACAAGAGCAATTGGGGATGTACAACAAACTTTGATGTTGCCAGCACACCTACATCCCAAGAATGAATAATAGGACTTTCATGTGAGATGTACCTATTTGGCTCTCTCTCTCTCTCTCCAACTCCTGCCCTGATCCCCTCCTCTTAGTTTTCATAGAATTCCTACAGTGTGGAAACAGGCCATTCGGCCCAACAAAACCACACCACCCCTCCAAAGAGCATCCCACCCATTCCCCTACCTCTACACTTTCCATGTCTAACCCACTTAACCGAAACATCCCTGAACACTATGGGTAATTTAGCATGGTCAATCCACCTAGACTGCACATCTTTGCACTGTAGGAGGAAACTGGAACACCTGGAGGAAACCCACACAGTCACCCAAGGGTGGAACTGAACCTGGGTCCCTGGTGCAGTGAGGCTGTAGAGGTAACCACTGAGCCACTGTGCCGCCCTATGTGTCAGACCACATATCTGACCTGCATTCAATCACTGCAATTTCCTCCAGGTAAGCAGTGCGAAGATCAAAGCCATGTTTGGTCCCCATCATAAAATCCATATCCCTGCCCCAAGAGCCAAGTCTCAAACTGAGCCACATTGTTTACAACCTCTATGTGCTGCCGCACAGTGTCTCACGCATCGCCAGTCTACACGAGCTCACTTTGTTTGGAGTGTATCCCATTTAGTACAGCGATAGTGCCACACAACATAATGGATGATATCCTCAACATGAAGATGAGACTACTTCTCCACAAAGACTGTGCATAGACATGCTTACTGATTACGGACATGGACAGATCTATCTACAGCTGGAAAATTGGTGAGGTCAAATAAGTTTTTCCTATAGTTGATTCCCCGAACCATCTGCCACAGACCCAGTCTAGCAGTTGCCCTTTAGGTCCCAACCAGTAGTGGTAATGCCAATGAACTCTTGGACAATGAAGTCTCCCATCCAGACATTCTGCCTCCATGCCACTTTTAGTGCTTCCTTGCCCATGTTTGGCCCAATGCCATGGGAGCAAAAGTCAATGTTGAAGATTTCCAGAACAACCCTCCTATATACCAATGCACCACCTCTGTTACGTATGCCCTGCCAGTGGGGTAGAACACATTCAGGGATAATAATGGTCTTTTCTGGTTCATTGCTTGTATGGTATGATTCTAAACGAATGTGTTAGACTGTTTCTTGATTAGTCTGGGCTTTAGCTCTCTCAATTTTGACACTAGTCCCCAGATGTTAGTAAGGAGTACTTTGCAGGGTTAGCAGGGCTGTTTCCTTTTGTTGTTTGTGGTGCCAAGGTTGCCCAAACACTTTTGTTTTTTTTTCAGACTTTGTAGCAACTGATACAATTGAGTGACTTGCTCAAGGGTAGAGGGCATTTGAGTCAATATTTCTGTAGGTTTAGGGTTATATGTACGCCAGCCAGGCAAGGAAGTCAATTTCTTTTGCTAAAGGGCATTAGGGCAACAGATAGTTTTTTTTACAACATTGGTCATCATTAGACATATTGGATTCAAATTCCACCATCTGCCATGGTGGGATTTGAATCCAATACTCCTGGGCATTACCTGGGTCTCTGGCTCACTCATATTGTGACTACTTCTCTAGGCCATCACCTCTGCCTCATCTTCTCATGGATTCCACTCCCATTCACATAACAGGTAAGGTCCTCCGTTCTAGGATTCCATCCCTCAGCATATGTGTCTAAACTCCCACTCCTCCTTAATTCCAGTTATTTGAAACAATTAATATCATATCAGCTTCTTCAACAGTATATAGTTTCTTTCCCTTACTTATCCATGAAGCACTTTGGGACACCCCTACTTTAAAGGTGCTTTTGAAATGCAAGTTGTTTCTGTTGCAAGATAACGTTTGCTTATTTATACTCAGCCTTATCACATTAAAGTACTGAACTTGCCTTTCAGAACATCAGAGACATGTGTGGTGATGAGATTAGTTTAGCTATGAAAAGACTGTAAGTCTCTGAGGTATGCTCTCATACTAGAAATATTGAGATAAAACCTTGATTGAAAGGAAGATGGAATTTGATTAGAAATTCCATTGACACTTGAGGGAATGTTAAATGTAAAATTAATATCAATAACCTTGATCTGATTCTGTCCCTGTTGTTCAGTCAAAAATTCAACTAAATTTAAAGTAACAAATTTGAAACAATGCAACTTATTCATCACAAATGAAAACCAGAGGTAATGATCATTGATGCTTCTAACCTACTCCAATGATATTTATTTGCTTTGTTCTAAACAATCTTTCATTTGATTAGCAGATTTATATGTTGATTTCTTTCTTGATTTCAGGCTTTCCAGCAATCTTTTAGTAAAAAATTTGGAATCGTAATGAAGTCCATTAATGTGTCTAAAAACTGGTGGAATTTGTTCTGTCTTTATATTAAAGTAGACTGGAAGAACCTTGCTTCCCTTCTCAATCGAATGCTGCAAGTTCCACTCAGAGACTCTGCGACACCAGCCATTGCCCATGGAACTTTGTGACAAAATGATGATGGTGATTTTACTTTGCTGGATAACATTAGTTACTTCTTTTATCATCAGTCGTCCAGCCACTTGGTCTTGGTGCTCCACAAATCCAACATAACCATTTTGATCCAGTATCTCTGAAATATGTAAAGCCACCTCTTCATCTGTTTCACAAAACCAGAGGGAAAAATCATACTTAAACCGCAAACAGCGTCCAGTCAAAGTAGCTGATTTCTTAACTTCCATCAGCTAGAATTTAGTTCTAATTATAAACTATTCTTTATCATTTGCTTGGTTTTGAAAATGCTTATCTTTAATTTCAGAAATACTTAGATCAAGTTGTTCCCCTGCTTTCTTCAATTCTTTGGATCGTGATGCCAACTCGTGATGCTCCACTTGTAAACGTTTATTCAGTTCAACATAAGCTTTGCTTTGCTGGTATTGGGTTTCAACATCTGGCAGCAACACTTCTGCTCTCACTGGAATCAGAAATTCTGAAAATAAATTTTAAAGAAAAAAGTTGTTTTATTCTTATGATTAAAATGAGCACTTGGCCTAATTAATAAGTTGGATTTTGTAACTTTCATAGCAGAAAGTGGCACAGTGGTCATATCATTGGATTAATAATTCACAGACTCAGGCTAATAATCTGGGAACCCTGTGAGTTCATATTCCACCATACGACTAGTGGAATATAAATTCAATAACAAAATCTGGAACTAAAATCTAGTCTCAGTTACACCATCACTAATGGTGTCCAGGACAACTATCACTTTATATAAAAACAAAATCAATCTGGTTCAGTAATTGCCTTCTGGAAAGAAAATCTTTCATCCTAAACAGGTCTGGCCTACGTGTAGTTCCAGGCCCACTGTGAAATAGTCACACTTTACTGCTCTCTGAAATAGCCTAGCTGGCCACTCAGCTCACAGGCAATTAGGGATGGACAACAAATGTTGGCCTTGCCTTTGATACTAACATCCCATGAAAGATTTTTTTAATCTACTTCACAGAAACATGATTCAATTTCTCAATTATACTGACTTCCAAATACATATGGTTGGTTATGATTTTACATCTATAATTCCTCAGTGTTTCCAAACTTCAGCTCCATCAGAAAACAGAAAACTTTATGGCTCAACTGACTAGAATGGAAAATTGCTCAGGCCATTCTGCTACATTAAGTTACAGACTAGTCACCTTGACATCTGTTGTGGGGAAATTGCTGATGTCGATAATCGAGGATACAGTGACTGAAATTTTCTAGCCGACCAGAAAACGGCTGCATGGATTTGTAAAGGACAGGACCAATTTGAAAAACTTGATGGAATTTTTTTTTGAAGAGGAGCCTAAGTCATGGAGAGGGGAATGTCTGCCAATACTAGTTAAATAAACTTGCACAGGTTGTTAGTTCAAGTTGAAGCTCATTGAACTGAAGGCAGATCATTGACCTGGTTCATAAATTGTCTAAGTGATGGAAGACAGAATAGAGATGATAGAGTACCCTAATGGCAGAACGTGATTGTAATGATCAGTGTTGATCCCTTAATTACTCACTGCATTTATTAACAACTTAGAAGGATAGAAAGCAATGTATAATATTTGTTAATAACAAAAGGTAGGTACCATTGTTAGCATTGTAGACACAGCATAATGTTACAAAGAACAGTACAGCACAGGAAAATGCCTTTTGGCCCACCAAGACTGCACCGACACATCATGTATTTCTAAACTAAGAAACCTTCTAGTTTCACGCTGTCCATTTCTCTCTTTTCTATCTATTTACATATTTGTGAAGATGCCTCTTATACTTTGCTACTGTATCAGTCTCCACCACCTACCCTCTGCATAAAAATGTGCCTCTCACATCTCCTTTAAACTTATCCCCTTTTATCTTAAACCTATGTACCCTAGTAATTGACATTTTTACACTGGGAAAAAGACTCTGACCTTCTATTCTATCAATGCCTCTCATAACTTTATAAACTTCTATCAGGTTGCCCCTTATCCTTCAAAGTTCAATTGAAAACAAACCAAGTTTGTCCAATCTCTCCTCACAGCTAATATCTACCAAACCAGGTAACATGCTGGTAAATCACTTCTGTACCTCTCTAAAGCCTCCACATCCTTTTGGAAGTGTGGTGACCTGAACTGTGCACAATATTCCAAATGGAGCCTAAAGTTCTATACAGCTGCAACATAGCTTGCCAATTTTCATATTCTATGCCCAGATCAATGAAGGCAAGATTGCGATACCTCCTTAACCAATGTATCCACTTGTGTTGACATTTTCCGGGAACGATGGACTCATACACCTAAATCCCTCTTTATGTTAATGCTATTAAAAGGTCCTGCATTAGATCTCCCAAAATGCATCACTTTGTATTTGAGATAACAAGGTGTACAGCTGGATGAACACAGCAGGCCATGCAGCATCAAAGGAGCAGGAAAGCTGACGTTTTGGGTCTAGGCCCTTCTTCAGAAAATCACTTTATATTTGCCCAGATTAAACTTCGCCTTTCATTTCTTCACCCAAGTCTCTAGTTTATCTACATCCTGCTGTATCCTCTGGCAATCCTCTTTATCCACAGCTCCTCCAATCTTTGTGTCATCCGCAAACTTACTAATCAGGCCACCTACATTCTCCTTCAAATCATACACAAACAGACACACACTACAAACAAGGGTCCCAGCACTGATCCCCGCGCAACACCATTGGTTACAGATTACTAATCTGAAAAACTCCCTTCCACCACTACTCTCTGCCCTCTATGACTAAGCCAGTTCTGTATACATTTTACCAGCTCACCACAGATCCTTTGTGACTTCACTTTTTGTATCAGCTACTGCCCTGCCCTCAACTATCTTTATAACCTCCTCAAAAAATTCAAGTTTGAAAGCCATTACCTTCCCTGCACAAAGCCATGCTATTTTCTTAAATGTGAGTAAATACTATCCAAGAATCTTCTCCGATAACTTCTCTACCACTGACAACAGGAAGATATGACTGATAACTTGAGTGGGAAAAATAGCGGCAAATGCATTTCAATGTAGGTGAATGTGAAATCCCCTACTTTGTGTCTAGAAACTGACATAAAATGATACTTTGTAAATGCAAGAAAGCTGGAAACAGTGGAGAACCAAAGATCCACATGAGTTCAGGTACATAAATCATTAAAATGTCATGATCCTAATAGACAATAATCAAAAAAGGCTAATGGAATGCTGGCCATTAGATCCAGAGGACAAGAAAGGCCAGGGGTAGAATATACAAAGCAATACCTAGCATAGATTTACCAGATGGATACCTGAACCTCAAGGGTCAACTTATACAAACTGCAGTTGTAGTCCATAGAAGTTAGATTAAGTGATTCGAACAAAGTTTTTTAAGATATTAAGGGTAACAGATAGTGCAGATTGAGAGGAAAAGACAAAGAACTGGTATTGCTACTTGGGGACTCTAGTATTATGATGTGCAGTCCATAAATTAGATCTAAATCTTTCAAGAAATTAGAAAATACTTTTACACACAAAGAATGGTAGAAATTTTGAACTTCCTCTGCAAATAACAATTGATGTTCAATAAGACTGGTCATGATTTTATTAAATGGTGGAATGCACTCAAGGGGTCAAATGCGTCCTCCTGTTTTTATGTTGTTATCATTCCTAGGTACATGGACTTGCTCAGCTGCAGGCCTAGATTAATAAGTGGGTTAAGATGCTGCTGGTGGCTAATGACAGGAAGACCTGAGGATACAGGAGCATTTTTCTCAAATGGAAAATGCAACGTGTGGGAAGACTGTTTTAACATCCATCTCAACAGACAGAAAAGTAACAGTTAACTCTGGTCCCTTTCCTGTCTAGTTAGCATCAAATTATTTGTCAAAAGCCATAGTATAAAACTCCAAAATAAAGAGAAAGTTGAGTCAAAGTTGGATCATCTTTAAACTTAAGAAGTTAATCCTAAGTTTCAACTTTCTAAACAAAATCAGGACAGTCTCTCAGTGATACAGAAATGTTACAATTAAAGTGTCTTAAAACAAGATCATTTCTTTCAAAAAAATTTATATTTGTAGATAGCCATAAAATGGAGAGAATAAGACAATAGGAATTTGTAGTTTCTTTCAGAGATAGTAAGAACTGCCGATGCTAGAGTCAGAGATAACACAGTGTGGAGTTGGAGGAACACAGCAGGCCAGGCAGCATCAGAGGAGCAGGAAAGGTGATGTTTCGGGTCGGGACCCTTCTTCAGAAATGGGAGAGGGGAAGGGGGCTCTGAAAAAAATGGGGGGGGGGGGATTGGGCTGGGAAAGGTAGGTGGGGTGGTGATAGGTGAGTGCAGGTAGGTAGTGGTGTGGATTGGTCAGTGAAGTGGGAGGAGTAGATAGGTGGGAGAGAAGACGGACAGGTCAAGGAGGTGGGGATAAGGGACTGGGGGAGGGAGGTGTGATGGCGATAGGTGAGTGCAGGTAGGTAGTGGTGGGGATTGGTCAGTGAGGTGTGCAAGTGTCTGGTGAACACCAACAGAAACCACTTTATAACTTATAGTTAAGTTGCATGAGGTGGAGAGGCAGCAGCTATACTGCGAAGTATCAAATACATGTTACCTTTTGACTTTTGCCTAAAACATATAATCTATAAGTTAAAAAAAGTGATCTGACTCCTAGGTACTGTAGATGAATAACATGAAACCACTTAAACAAACTCAAAATTAAAATTCAGGATAGGCCAAGCAGTCCAGTACTATTTAAATCTTTTTAATCTTGGGAGAAAGTAAATGCTCCCACCTGTACTTTCCAATATTAAAGAACAAATTTTAAATCACAGAGTGCAGTTCACAATTTTAGGATATCCAAACCACTTAACAGTTAAAAGAAATAATTGTGAAGTATAGGCATAGTTCAAATACAAGTAAACTTAGCAGCGAATCTGCACAGAATGTGACCCCTCAAAACAGCAATACTATAATGACCAGTTATTCTGTTTTAAACGCAAGTTGAGGATTGGTACTGGTTAGGATATCCAAGAGAACTCCCCTATACTTCTTTGAAATAATGCCGTGGTATCTTTTATGTCCACCCAAGAGAGCATATGGAGCCTTAGCATAATGTCCTACCTTTCAAAAGGTAGCGTCTCCAAAAGGGCAACACTCCTTCAATTCCTGAGTGCCAGCCTGGATATTGTACACTGGCCTCTGAAGTGGGATTTGAACACAGGATCTTCTGCCTCAATATTAGTTGCTGGGTTAACCAATCATGAGGAAATTTCAGGACACTGCATCCTAACCTTGTCTCAGACTCATGCTTCAGTGCAGCAATGGAGCAGCCATTTAAAGTTATAACTGCATATTTATTTCTAAAGACTGACTTTGTTAATACATCAGGATAAAAAAAATTCACACAGGACAACAGATGATTAGAAAAGATTAATATGAGACAGCGGATGATTAAAATAGAAACAAAATCAGAAACAAAAAAAAACAATTTATAAATTTACTGGAATAAAATACAATACCCTCAGAGCCTTCAGCTAATGAAGTGAATACTGGATCAGATGGTCTGGCACTTCTGACATCCTCCAGAATCTGCTCGATAGTGGGAGGCTCAGGTCGAGTTGGCAAAATGACACGCTTCTTGTTTTTTGATGACATACCACCTCTGTTTCTGTGAATCTTACGCAAAAAGAAACATACACACACCAATCAGCTATTGTAACATTTTCTTTTTAACCAAAAAGAGAACCATGCACAGTGAGCTGTTCATTACAATACCCCTGTATGAGTGTCTTCACCCACACACAATTCTCAGATACATTACACACAATAAAACCATCTGTCAAGTAGGAATATTTCTAGTTGAATTGTTCAAACTGATAGCAAAATACTCAGGTTAGTGACTCAGTTTATGAGACACCCGAATTAACAATTATATTTGTGAATCCAGCAGTTATTATGTATGTTAATTTGTTTCCCAAAGGCCTGAGAACAATCATCTTGAAATAAGGGTTTCAAACTTTACTTGTGTGTGTTAGGCCCTACAAATATTGACACAGTGCCAAGGACTACATCACTATTTTCAAATAACAGATGCTTGTAAGAAAGCCTGTGTTGTCATCACAGGAAGCAATTTATTGCCACAATGCAACAAAATTAATACATGGAGATATTCAGGAATTGAGTGACCTGGCAAAGTTTGGATGACAGACACAAGACTTTTGAACATGGGGCATAATTCTGCAGCAGTGCACCAGCATGCTGAAATTCAACATTTCCAACAGAGATCTGCAGAGTAATCCCCTTCAATAACATGTGCTTCTGAAAGTTACTGTGAAAACAGATCAGGTAGTGCAGTCCAGCTCATGACAACTCATCCTGGGGGTGGGGAAGATTGGGGGG